CCAACGGAGGACATCCCTGTAGTACTCTTTGGTGATTGTTTGACCCTGTGGTGCGTACTCATGGTGTACCACACCGCGGGAGTCAAAGAAAACAGTCAGCATCACTTTGACGTTGCTGCGCACTTGGCGGGCCTTCTTTGGTCTTGGTGATGTGGAATGCTTCCACTGTGACGACTGGGATTTGGTTTCCGGGTCGTACCCGTACACCCAAGACTCGTCACCAGTGATTATGGTGTTCATGAAGTCAGGGTCACTGTTTGTGGAGTCCAGCATGTCCTGTGAGACTTCAACACGAAGTTCCTTTTGCTCCTCCGTAAGCAGCTTCGGCACAAATTTCGCCACCACTCTCTTCATAGCCAAATCTTTGGTCATAATAGAATGTGCCGAAAAAGTGCTGATGCCCACCTCTTCCGCAATTTCTCGGATAGTCACACGACGGTCCCGCATCACCATAGCGTTCACTTTGGCAATGACCTGGTCATTTCGGCATGTTGATGGCCGACCGGAGTGTGGCTCGCTCTAAACCGTTGTGCGGCCGTCTTTAAACCGGTTGTACCACTCCTTAATTTGTGTGATGCCCATAGCATCGTCACCGAAAGCCGTTTGAATCTTCCGAATGGTTTCCACCCGGCTGTTGCCCAGTTTCTGGCAAAATTTGATGCAGTAGCGCTGCTCCAGTCGTTCCGTCATTTTCCTTGCAATGAAAAACTGATGTGAGCACTACACACTACCTCACTCAATGGCTGCTTGCCAACAACTGACGCAATCAACAAGCGGGAAAAATTCATGCATGCGCACGAAGATTCTAGGTCGGCTCATGCAAGCGCGCTTGATTCAAATCCATCAGGTTATCGACAAAAAAAAAAAAGGTCGGATACTTTTCTCACAGGCCTCGTACATGTGTAAATAACAGCAGTATGGAACTTACATTCCTTTGCTGTGCACCACCAGCATAAACTGGCATGAATGGATCAGTGTGGTTACTACGAGACTGACCCTGATTCAGAGGTCTCCTGACATCTCCTTGCTTGAAGGGAATGGCCTGTTATAGAAATTTAAATGATTCAAACTTATTCTGCATGGATTATCTGCAGCTTAAACAACAAGGTTTTTATACACTGAAATGTTCAGATATTATTGATAATGTATTTGTTAGAACTTTCATAAAAAGGTCAAGTACTGAATGCAATAAAACTTATAATCACTTTTATATTTGAATTACAAGGAAATTAATATAGTTCTCAGGATACTATAAATGGTTAATAACTCTATCATAACTTTATTATCATAATCATCAATACATACCCTATCTTTGATAACTTCCAGGTTTGGTAGACCTTGGGGCTTCTTCAAGGATATTGGTTCGGACTGCAGCTGAAGAAGAAAGGCACGATCATATTGTTTTTTACCCTCTAGATTCAACGGACTCCACTGGTCTGTAAAAGAAAATTTCAGCATTTTTTCAATCACCTGATTGGTTAAATAAGTAATTATTAATAAGAACTTCTGAGTGAAAGTACAAAATAGTATATAACAATGTATCAACCCCATCATATTTGCTATATCCTGTGCTGACAAGGACTTTCTCCCAATACCAAGGGCTCTTCAGGTCGTCTGGAATACAATAGGCATATTTAATATCTATATTAGAAAACTGCTTAAACAACAGCTGTTTCAGTGTGAACTACATTAAGTTGGTAAAGTGTAATCTTTATCAGATTTATTAATGTTACTACATCAGAATCAGGGAAAGGATTTTTTAACACTATTATTTATTCATTCTAAAACCAACTTGTTTATTTTGCTTGAAATACCTACTCATCATCCAGAAGAACTGGTGAACCAGCAATTTAGTCTTCTAGCTCTATTATGATATACTTACCATATTGATAAGATTTAAAATAGTAAATTAGGAGATTATATCAATAGATATCAAATATAGCTATGCATATAATTCTAAAATAAGGAACATTAATACAATATTATCTTTATATTTCTTTTAAGTAACAGACATCTTGAAAGCATTGATAATTCTTATATGCAAAAATTATAAACATTCCTTGATTAAGTTAATGCAGGCTAACATTTCACACTATAATAATGACCTGACATCAAAATTTTCTACTTTCACAACTTTAGATCTAAAGTAATTCAAGAAAAGCAAAAGAAAAATTTCTAGTGCATCTTATTGTAAAAATTAATCTTACTGTTAATCTATACTATGATAATAATATCTTATTCATTGAGAAAAAGTTCTTTATGAGCTACTTTAAATTTCCAAAATTTAATTATTAATAAATTTAATGTTTTATCTAACTATGTCAATTTTTTCAAAACATACCACACTCAAAATCTCACACACTGCATACTTACCTGCTGGATAATAGTATTTCAGTTTTATTTGAGGTTCTAATGGTTCTGTAACTACTGGCACTTTTTCTGTTTCCTCCTCTGAAACACTCTCATTTACTACATTATTTTCTATTACTTGATTTTCACAGGACAACTTTTGGTAGTTAAATTGATTTTTATCTATAAATTGTTCTTGTGAAGAATCCTCCTTATCACCAAGATTATTTTCTAAATTCTCATCTTTTTTTAGACCTTTATTATCATCAATAACCTGCTTTTCACCTAACTCCCTTAAGTCCATTTGATTCTTTTCTGTGACTTGTTCTTTTGTGTGCTTTTCTTTTACCAAGTCATCTTGTAATAGCATAACTGAAGATTCAGGTAGCTGAGGACTAAGATCAAGAAAAGATTGTTCTGGTGCTGGAAACAATGATCTAGGGGTCGGGATCTATAAAAACATTAATTTTTCAAAATATCATATTATACAACAAGAAAATAACAATGCTAATGGTAGAGCTGTTCAATTGACTCAAATTCTCAATATAATCAATAACCTATGAGCACCAATTACACCATTCAGTTTAACATAAAATAATGAATAAAGCAAAATTACAATTAAGTCAATTACTGTCAAAAAATAACCAACAGTTAGTTCTGATTATTTCAACTATTCAGTAATCAAAGTTAATGTCACAAATATAATCAAAATTAACATTTTCAATCTCTACTGATTTTGATTATACAACTATTCAGTAGTTGAAATATTGGCATTATGATTTTTCATTATTACTTTTGATTAATTAAAGCTTGTTTAACCTAACTGATTAGTGTAATGACTCACAAAAATAATAAACTAATCAAAATTAGTTTCCAATGATTACTATTTTAAATTATTCCACTTATCCAAATAATGAAAATATTGTTTTTATGTTTATTGTTAAGCACAAAGCTAAACAATAGATTATCTGTGTTCTATCACTGCAGCTATTAAAACCCAATTTTTTTATGTTACAAGTTTTTATTATTATTTTTCATTATTAATTCAAGTGTGTTCAGCTTTGGGCCAGCATGACTTAGTGATTAGAGGGGATTGCCTCACGATTCAAATTTGATTCCCCACAGCCACCAAACTTGTTTGTGCTTTCAGCCATGAAGGGTGTTATATTTCTTCTCTTATTTTTAAATTATGGCAAAGCTACTTAAGCTATCAACTACACTCACTAATTTTGAACTGCCAACAAAAGGAAAGGCAACTGGCTAGCAGCACCCACCACCAACTGTTGAGTTACTTTAGTGTTAAATCCAATATAAATTTACTGTTTTTTTTTTCACACCATGTTACATTGTAATCAATAATTTGCTTTAAAAAAAACATGCTCATGATGCAGTATTCTTTAACCACTTAGACATACCAGCCTTTTAACCATGTGACAAAGTACAAATGTAATAATGTAAAAATTGACTTCTTATAAACAATAACAAGATCAATAAAATAATTCTTCCAAATTTAAGTCCTATATTAATAATTTTACTAATGTAACAAAACAAAACCACAACATATATATTTGCTTCTACATTGTTCTTTATATCATACACAATTGTATTATATAGACATACTCCATGATTATGTGAGGCTGTAAATGTAATATAGCCTATGAGGCATAGCAAAAAAAAATTGCTTTGCAGTACACACCCAGTGATCCTGAAAATAAGAGCCCAGCCCTAAAGGTTTAAGTTTTTTCTTTAAAAAATGTTTAAAGATCATAATCAGATGCTTATATGTTTATTGAATGTTTATATATTTATCAATCAGATTTTTTCTTCAAATGTCCAAAAACATAACTAGATGTTTTTATGTTTATTGATATGCTACATTTTTACCTCTGTTATTCATATGAACAAGTTTCATAATAAACTCATCTAAAAAACTTAACTTTGATAGGAACTTGATATTATATCAAGACAAAAAGTTCACACTGTAATGATCAAAATACGTTTATATTAAATATATTAAAAGATAGTTATGTTTATATTATATCATTACTATGCTATTTTTTTAATAAGCCTCAGAGAATAATTTTTTGCATGTTACTTCCAAATATTTTTGTACAAATTTCTTATTTAGGTTTACCCAAGATATAGAATCTGAAACTTTGCTTTTAAAAGAGGTTTGTTTCAGTTTATTTACAGGAATTATACTAATTATCCTTTTCTGAGTGAAGTTTCTCAAAAAATTGATCACAAACAATTTTATCTAATTGCTTACTGTAATTTGAAACATGCAACATCTATAAAACCCTATCAAGTTTAGTAGCACTTAACTCATCATGTTTGGCAATGTCTCTCTCACATGGTGCTAATGCTAAGTGAAAAGATTTCTTGTTCAGAGAAATAGTTTAATGTGCACATGTTAACAAACTTCATGTTCCCATGCTTTGGCACATTAGGAAGATTGACAAGCTAAATATTTTCTCAGCAAGTGCACATAATTATCAATCTACTCTGTGGAAGAATTCAGATGTGATGTTTTTAAAACCCACTTGATGTTGTGCAGATGGTGCAATACTCAGAAATAACAAGTTATGCATGGAAAGTTCAGGGTTATTTTATCTCGTGCAAAGTATTAATGTATTAAAATTATATAATTGTACATAAAATTCATAAAAGTTGTATTTTTCACTACACTGTAAACATTTAGAAGTTCAACAATGACAACACATTACTGTGTACAAGAAAAATATAAATTTTACAATATTTGTTAATTTAATTTAGGTAACTTGCAAATGATTATCTTATAAACTAATTTTGGTAAGTTGTATTAAAACCACAAAAATGATTGACATATATAATGTACGGTGCCATGTTCAATAATTCTATAAAGAACTACTAAGCTACTACATAGGATTTGGTATGGTACATATAAATCAACTACAACTGAATCTAGTGGTTAGGACACTCAACTTACAATCTGTGGTCACAGGTTCAAATCCCCATCACCAAACAAGCTTGCCATTTAGTATTGCTATTAGGGCCAGCCACCCAAGTGTAAAATTTCCTGGCTAATACAAAATACCCAATCAGCCAGCTCCAAATCAAGATGGGATTAAAATTGAATGAAGAAACATATATAAAACCAATATAATTACTATTTCTTTAGTATATTTTCATTTTCAAAAATTGAAGAATAGGTTTTGAATCACCATGTTCTATGTACATTTTTTTATTTTGAAAAGATAACATTTTGGACTAGCACTCTTCATAAAGATTAGTAAAAAAAAGCATGAGCAGAATTTGAAAATTGCATGCTCAAGATTTTCAATATTGATTATAAAATTTCTCCAAAAAATTACATCTTTTAGAAAAGTTCTACAAGTAAAAAAAATGGAAGGAATAAAGAGAAAGATAAAAAATACAGCAAACTGTAGTATTCAAAGATTGCAGATTAATTTATTTTCTAGTCATTCTCATTTCGAGCACTTCCAGACTAGTATGGTTATGGTTAGTAAAATGTGTTCCTATAGGCATATCTTGGTTTCTGCAGTTTAATATAGTTTAATTTTCATGAGTTTGTGTATTCTTGCATATGTTTTGAAAAATAATTTTATTCCGAACAATTAAAAATGTGTTCATTTAACTTACACCTGAGGTAGGTCTAAGAGTGAAACTAGTTATGTTTTTTAAAATATTTTACTTGCAAGGATTTTTTTAGGGTAATAAAGTTTATTAACATTATTTAAAAGTTTGTATGAAAATGTCACAAAATATTTTTTTTTTCATCAACAAATATTTCATAGTTTAATTTTGGCAGACTTGTGGAAATGTTCTAAGAGCAACCCAATGAACATATTTTAAGATTGTTACAGGTCTTGCATTACCTTGCATGTATGATACATTTTCATGTACAACAGTTTAGTTTAACAACAAAGTAAGTTAATCCTAAATTATTGTACATGAAGATATGGTTTCTTATGGCTTTTCATATTTCTTTGTCAAATGAACTTTTGTTACCACAAATGTTTAAAGCAATTTTAAGTGTTAATTATAAATAGTTATTTTAATAATGTGAACTCAAAAATATTTTAGAACCAATGTTTTGTCACTTTCTAACATGTATCCAGTATAATTCATGAAGAAAAATAAAAAAAAAATGTTCAAATTTGCATTTTTGCTCAGCTCTGAAGAGTTCTGCCTGTAAACAATGCAATTTTCAATTTATAGAAATTTTCTACCAATCATAGAGAATATTTTTGCTAAAAACCTATCACCCCTATAGAACATATTATCTAGTTATTCGTTTTTCAAGCATTTCCCTAGTTTTTTCTTGGCAAACTTTTATGACGTTACATCAAGTTGTTCATTTACTAATGAAACACAGCTTTGAAAATGGCTATAAAGAGTAGTAATTTATGGTTTTGTGGGTTAGTTTCTAGTCAGAGCCATAGTGTTTATATTTTAAATTATATATTTTTGAAAGCTACAGATAATGTATTAGATGAGAAGGCATCAAGTAAGCTTTAGCAAGTACAGTAGGGGACTAAATTTCTGATATCTCATATCTTTATTTATTGAACATTATATATATACAATATTCAAACAATGTACATTAATAAATTGGTTAGTGGCTACTTAATGATTTCTAATTGCAATGAGATATGGTTTAAATAAACACTATTTTGATTATCTGTGATAGTTAAATATGTTTTCATTATTATTATTTGATTTTCAATTTATTTGATTTACACAGATCAATGAGGGTTTATTGCATATTCTAAAAACAAACAAAATGGAGATGTATGTAGTCCACTTGATATTAGATTCACCAAATAATAAATGTTCTGATTTATCTATAAAAAAATTGAAAAAAAAAAACTTTCCCCATTTATATATATACACAGCCACTTGTGTGAGAATAATCCATTAACCAGCCCAATGATTACTTGAATAGCAGCTTCTATCAGTATCTCTCAACTTTCAACAGCAATTAGTGTTTTATGTAATTCTTTAAATAGCATGAAATATATATATATATATTTATAAGGAAATCTCAAAAGTCTAATAACATAAAAAATGCAAAACAGAAATAAAAATAAGATGCTAGAATAAAAATAAGATGCCAGAATAAAATTATTAAAGAATATAACCTGTTTTCCAAGCAAAAACTTCCTTCATGTTTTTAGGCTTAAAGATAAATTACTTGTGAAATTTTGCTACACAAATAATTCATTAAAAAAAAACTTACAAGCTGCTAACAGAAAACATTTTTCATGTTTTACCATTCATTGTGTTTTGATTTGGTTTGAATTTCACACAAAGCTACATGAAGGCTATCTGCACTAACTATCCCCAATTGAGCAGTGATAGACTAGATGGAAGACAGCTAGTCAACATCACTCACTGTCAACTCTTGGGGAACTTTTTTATTAACAGATAGCAAGATTAACCATCACATTATTAGGTCTTCATGGCTGAAAGGGCAAGCATGTTCGGTGACAGGGATTTGAACCCATGACCCTGAGATTGCAAGTCAAGCACCCTAACCATCAGGCCATACCAGGCCCATTGAGTTTTTGAGTAAATAAACTCTCCAAAGAAAGAAAGAAAAAATCAAAATATTCCCTAAAAATCAGCTACAAAGGGTAAAATTTAGTCCAAATACATGTCATTCAATTTTCCATAACCCTAATGTACTATAACATTGTGTTACTGCCCCAGTCGACCACACCAGAAAAACACACACACCCTACTTTCAAAGACAGAATATATCAAATTACAGGAAATGCTTGGCCAATCTTGCACTAAAAGAAAAAGATTCTATATTTATTTGACAGTTAATTTGAAATTATGAAATTATTGTTTAATATCAAATATATATATTTACTTATTTCTACAAATTTATATTCTCATTGATTTTAAGGTTAAGTAGAATTTCTTTTAACTAATATCTACAACATTAAAAATTTTCCTATTTTTCATACAATCTTTAACAAGGATATGAAAATAAATTTTATCAAATAACATAATAGCTAATGATTACGTATAACATGCTTTATCCTTGCCTTACATAATCTAATGCAAAGCTAAACATTTCATCTTTCAACATCATAATTTTAATCATCTCTAACATAATTCATGGTGGGACAACTGTTTTCCATGGTATGGTCATTGACCTAGTATAATGTGTATAAATCACAAGATTTATGTGTAAATACAAACTTTTTAATTTGTTGTTGAATAATCTTGAAAATCTACTTTCGGTTATATTCTTAATTGTAAGTTTTTACTTTTTCCACACATATATATATATATATATATATATATATATATATATATATATTAGTTTATTGTTAGTTTTAGTTTTTACTTTTACCTTACCTTTACGTTACGT